AGCACTTCTGCATTGAGTTACGTCCGTCAGCAGCTTTCTGACTTGTGTTAGAATATAAATAGATATTGACACAGCTAATTATTTGATTGATAACATTTATCAGATCTGCAGGAATACTTAAGTGGAAGCACAAAAAAATACCAATCAAATAATATTTGTACATTTAAACTCGATTTCCAACAGGTGGTACATGTACAAGCTGCCCAAGCACTACTCGGCCGGAGGGCAGAGCGGGGAGGACGTGAGTGGCCTGAGGTATATGTATGTGACGAGCGACAGCTACGACAGCTGGCAGCTGTCGGGCCGGCGGATTAGCGATGCTAACTCGCTGCCGGCGCAGACCCTGAAGCCGCTCTACGCGGACCAGCAGCGGGTGCTGCTAGCTGCGTACAACGACGAGTACCCCAATGGGACGGTGTCCGCCACTGGGGGCCATGCGAAGGGCGTGATTGCCACGGATGGGACGACTGGCATGTGGCTGGTGCACTCGGTGCCCAAGTACCCCACAGTGCCGGACTACAGCTACCCCACCACGGGAGAGCACTACGGCCAGAGCCTGCTTTGCGTGACGGTGGATGCCGAGGGCGTGGAGAAGGTGGGCGAGCTGCTGGTCTACAACGAGCCGCACTTCTACTACGAGCGCAATCCCCTGCTGCAGACTGCCGAGACGTTCCCCAGCTTGGAGCGCGCCTTGAAGCGCCAATGGCGCACCGAGGCGCCCTTCCAGAAGGAAGTGGAGCTGCGCACTCTGGACGGCAAGCAGTTCAGGCTCTTTGGCAAGAGTCCGCGCGCCGACATCGAGCTCTACAGCGACCTGGTGGCTCCCGCCCTGGGCGTCAATCTCTTCGTGGAGGCCTGGCGCGACGGCGCTGGTAACCTGCCCGACTCCTGCGACAAGGCCAACAAGGTGTTCAACGTCCAGGACATCGCCAATGCGGACTTCCGCGTCGAGTTCAAGACCACCGGCGACCACTCCAAGTGGGCCGTCTCCGAGGAGACGGGCATCAAGCTGCACCGCTGGCGCATCGGCGGAGGCGACTGGATCTGCATCGGCGACATCAACAGGCAAGACAAGCAACAAAAGCGCGGCGGCGGCACCGTCTGCCACAAGAGCTCCCGAGTATCGGATCTCTATCGTAAGCTCGTCGCCAACTACGAAAAATGTAACTGAAAATCTAAGACACAATAAAAGTTTTCGAGATCAAACTAAAAAACAGTTAAATTATTCAAATATTAGTTCATTATGAAGTAAATCTGATCACTTGCAGCCAACAAAGCAAAAAACAAGCGATTTATGATACGCAGAGAAAATCTACTTCTAAAGCTGATGAAGTTTTTTTTTGTCTTTTTAGAATCACGGTCCCTTCTTTCATCTAAAGGAGAGATCGACACAGACTTAATGGTCAAATGTTTGATTTCCAACGATCGACAATTAAATTTTTTCTTGTATCACCGTGTAGTGGACGTATCCTAAAAATCTAAATATGTTATAAGCTCGCTTTAACCTAGATAGAAACGAAAAGGATAGCATGAAACTGTAGGTTTTGTTTATACATCCTATCTATGTACATATAGGGTCGCTTTACCTCCAGATGTTAGCTCCCTCTATTAATCGCTATCGATCATAACATTTAGATTGAGTTAGCATAAATTTTATGTTTACTCAAATGTGTAATAATTTATTTTATTATTAGTAATATAGAAAACTATGAAATTAAATTATGCCTTAAAGGACTGTATATCTGCACATTTCAAAATAAATGTTGGGGAACGTGTTAATAATAATATTCTGTGTATGTAAAACGATTTTGATTGAAAGGCCGATCAAGTTCGATTCTGTTGAGTGCACGCTGTTGAAACTTCAACTATAGATGGCTTGGTGGCGCCATCTGTTGGAAAGAACTGTTTCGGCTCTTCAGTAACGGTGACGTCACAAGATGGCGTCAGCCAGGGCTGGCACACAAATTAAACAGCTGTTGATAAACGAAGCGAAAAGCAGCTAAACGAAAAAAACAAACTGCAGCTGAAAAAAGTTAAGCTGACATAAAATTGCATTAACTAATACATCAAATATACACTATAAAACTGAACAAATAAACAAGATTGGGCATGTTTTGCTGCCTGCGCACCTGCCTCAATGGAGGGCAGCTCCGAAAACCGACAGCAGCCGCGCATCGATTAAGGGAGCCCGAAGTGCACCTCGACGCGGCGCATATGGGTAAGTTGTGCGGTGTATACATGCGCTGGTAATACCCTATGCCTGTGTTTTCCAGGCCCTGATGTTATACTACTCTCGCACCAGCTGAGAGTCACCGGCACGGGCGGAGTGCTGGCGACAGCGCCTTTGGTCCAGTCCAAATCTTACTTCGAGGTGAAGATCCAGCAGGGCGGCTGCTGGTCCGTTGGCCTGGCTACGCGCCAAGCGGACTTGTCCCGCAAGTGGGGCGGCGGAGACGGCGAGTCGTGGTGCCTGTGCTCCGACAATGCCACGCGCCACAACGACGAGGAGTTCCGTCCGGTGGTGGCCACAGGCGTACAGCCCACATCCGCCACCAAACCAGTCACAACCACGGCCAATGGCATATTGAACAACAGTGCAGCAGCCGCAGCTGGCCTGATTGCCATTGAGGATCTGCAGGAGGATCTGCTGATGACCACCGGATCGGAGCAGAAGTCGCCCGCAGACTTGAGCCCCGTGGACACTCTGATCAACGCACCACAGCGCGACTTTCCCGATGAGGGCGACATACTGGGCGTGGCCTTCGACCATGTCGAGCTCAACTTCTACTTCAATGGCAAGAACCTGGAGGTGCCCTTCCTCAATGTGCGTGGCCCGGCTCTCTTTCCCGTCATCTATGGTACGTTATTGTCTGGGAATCAGTGAAATCATTCCACACGTGGGCGGGCATAGGTCAACTGTGAGCTCTTATCAGTTGTATAATATTTCATTAGCTTAAATATGATTGATAGCCTGGCTCACATATATCATATGTATTTTAATCGAAGCCTATAAAATGCATGTGAACTGTTTCCCTATATGATGGAGAATTCGTCTATCCACTGAAATGTGTTTAAATAGTCCATTAACACAGATATCCTAGTATTGGTTTCGTTTTAACAAATATATATATTCTCTGATCTACCTTGCAGTGGGTAACGGCGCGATTCTGGACATTATTCTGGACAATTTCACGCACGGACCTCCACCGGGATTCGAGCGCATTTTATTGGAGCAGTCGCTGCTTTAGGGAGTTACTCTTGATTCTCGCTTGCCATAGAACAAAATTGAAGCCTTGAGCTGGGACACAGAATTATTGTCTATTGCCTGCTTCCTGATTTGTCCCAGGCTCAAATGTACAAAATTGTATTATTTCTAGTCTCGCAACCGCAGCTGTCGATGAACTAAAATAGCTTTCGAATAGCTCATTTTTGCTTTATCTGACTGTTAAGTAGCAAACTAATTAATATCCACTAATGCTTCTATAGTTTTTAGATATTGATCCATTCCTCTATATAGAGATATACATATATAAACTTTATAAAACTGAACTCACATTTGTTTGAGAGGATTGGAAAACAAAATTATTTTCGATAGAGATTTGCAACTATACTTATTTAGTAAGTGATAGAGCTAGATAGAATACGAAAGCTATTGCAACTTGTCACATTTTTATTTGTGCGGTATTTTTGTAAATCATTGAAAACGTAGCTAGAAACTCCCAACTGCTTTGTATAATACACACAAAAAGACAACACTAAATATACATGCACAGACGCAAGTATTTATATATATGTACTTATATATGTTCCATAAAAATATTTTTAAAAATTCCACAGTTTCCTTCGCGAACATCCCAAAGTAACGTTAAAGCTGATATGCACTCGAGCACGGAAATTCACTAACTATATACACTAAATATACTCTGTAATGTAATTAAGGAAATGTACTTAACGCTTCGAAAACTGACTAATCCGCGCGCGGACAATAATGAATGTAATGTAAACATGGATGTGCGTACTTAATTAAACAAAATATATATACACAATATCTATACTACTGACCACATACCACTTATATATACACATACATTTAAATATATGTATATGTATGTAAAGCAGAGCTTGAGCAATGAATTGTTTAGCTTGTCATTGAAATCACAATGTAAATTAAATTATTTGAAAAATCAGAAACAAAATTCAAGATCAAAATTTGTAGTTTAATTTGGTTTTTAATTAATTAAATTCTGGCTCAAGGGTGATCGAAGATCAATAGCGGCATATGTCGAGGATTCGCTTGGATCAGCAGTGGCTGAGTAGTTCTTCCAGCACCAGATGGGCAACAAGGGCGAGATAATACAGATACACATCGGCCAGGCGGGCGTGCAGATCGCAAATGCATGCTGGGAACTCTACTGCCTGGAGCATGGCATCCTCTCGAACGGCCGGCTGATGAGCAAACCCTGCGACGAGTCCTTTCTCACCTTCTTCGAGTTCAGCGGCATGGAGCCCTGTGTGCAGCCTCGTCTGGTCATGATTGACACGGAGCCAACGGTCATAGGTGCCTGACTACTACTTATGGGAAATCATGTCCCCTCCAAGACCACCTAGTTCTCTCTTATATTTTCTTACTTGTTGCTTTGTTGTCGCTTCAGATGAGATACGGACGGGTGCTTATCGGAATCTGTTTCATCCGGACACGCTGATCACGGGCAAGGACGACGCGGGCAGCAACTTCGCGCGCGGCTACAATTTGATGGCCAGCGAGCTGCTGGATCGAGCCATGAATGCCATCCGGCGCGTCGCCGAACGCTGCCGGAGCCTGCGCGGCTTCCTGGTCTTTCGCGCCATTGGCGGCGGCACGGGCTCCGGCCTGGGCACGCGCATAATGGAGCAGCTGACCCAGGACTTTGGCAGGAAAATGACCATCGTCGAGTTCCTAGTGTATCCCTCGCCTTCGTAAGTAGCCAAGCTGTGTTCGGTGTGCACTTCAGACGCCTCCTCCCACGCCTTGCAGCATCTCCCCGGTCATTGTGGAGCCGTACAACGCGCTGCTGGCCGCCCACTTCTCCATGGACTGTGCGGACGTGTCCTTCATAGTGGACAACGAGGCACTGTACGACATCTGTGCGAGTACCCTGAATGTGCCCGCGCCCACCTACACCAACCTAAACCGCATCATAGGCCAAGTGGTGGCTGCGTTCACGGCGACGCAACGATTCTCGGGCCAGTCGGTGAGCTTCCAGGAGCTGGAGACGAACCTGGTGCCGTATCCGCGCATTCACTATCCCCTGATCAACTATGCCCCGCTGGTGCCCATCACCCACTCGCAGTTCGTGAACATGAGCACGGCCCAGCTGACTGGGCAGTGCTTCCACATGAGCAACCAGATGGTGCGCTGCAATCCCATCAATGGCAAGTACATGGCCTGCGTGCTGCTCTATCGCGGCGACGTGGCGCCCAACGAGATCAACTCGGCGCTGGAAGGCATCAAGCGCTCAAAGTCCTTTCGGTTCGTAGACTGGTCGCCCACCGGCTTCAAGATCGGCGTCAGCAACATGCCCCCCGTCTACGTGCCCCACGGAGACCTGGCGCCTACGAGTCGCGCCTGTGTCGCCATCTCGAACAACACGAACATCCGGATTGCCTGGTGCCGCCTGGTCAACAAGTTCGACAAGCTCTACCAGCGGCGAGCCTTCGTCTACCACTACGTGGGCGAGGGCCTCGAGGAGGGCAACTTCAACGAGGCCTCCGAGAACATATGCCAGCTGGTGCACGACTATCTCGAGGTGGACGCCTCGGCACCCGTCTCCCAACGCGGCTCCGAGCACGGCTCTGAGGACTAAGCAACCTGTGCCCCGTCTCTTCAAGTGAAGCCCAAAACTCTTGTGGCACACGTGGAAGCGTCGTTGATGAGCTGAACAGCTTCATTGGGTTCTCGCCTCTCTTCGACTGACGCTCATACACTTCTTAAAGCCAACGAAGAAATTGGAAAAACTGTTTTTTGTACACTTTCTTAAACTTGTGAAACTCAATAAATATATGATAATCTAATTTGAGATTTATTTGTAGTACTCATATAGCCTTGCATAGCTTGCAAATGTCCCAACTAATCAGGGAAAGGAGTTGAAAAATTAAATATGTGAATATATAATCGTATAATTTGGAATTTACTGTAACAACATTTTATTAATTTGATATCCATTTGTATTACTCATACAGCACTTGCAAGCATATGCAGACATTTTGTCGACTCATAGGAGTGCAAATTATATACATTGTTACTCTTGAAGTCATTCCGTGACGGTCCACTTTCAATTTCCTTTTATCAGACATAATTTCTTGTCGTCCCGTAGGAAAGGAAACTGGATTGCTTTCTCTTAACTCCTTGTTAACTTGAGGTATGTAATATACATATATACATTTTCTATCCATTTGTAGTGCTCATACATCACTTTCATCGACTTTCAGACATCCATCAGTCTCAGCTGTATTTGCGTAAGTGACTTGGAGGTAATTGCGGTCCAATTGTCGTCTCGATGGCTTCATAAGGGAAAATAATAATAAAAACCGTTGAACAAATTAAGTATTTATGGATCCGGCTTAAACAAATATTGACCAAGCCCACAATTTGCGTTGCTTGACCCCGGTCCCGTAATGGGAATGGGACAGGGAGTGGCGGTGGCGACGGTGGTTCAGAGGTTCGGTGTCTCAGTGAACTCGCTGCTGCTCTGTGGTGCAGTTGGCCCAGGGTACTGTATAATTAAAATGATCGCAGGCAAGGGTTTAGCACGTACCGAGGCAAAAGTCGCGCTTATCGCGATCGCACCCAGGGCAAGGTCTCTCTCTCTCTCTCTCTCTCTCTCTCTCTCTCTCTCTTTTCGCTGTTTTATTTTTTGGTTTCCTCCTTTGTGCCCTGCGGTCGTCGGGCAGTTGCTCGGGGCCACGCCGTGACGTGACTTACGCACGCTTAATGCGCGATTATCGATGGAGCCACCAGCTGGAGCTCCCCTCGCTATCTCCTCGCCAGATCTTGCGCACGCAGCTCTCGGACTGCGGGTCGGCATCTTATCAGCGCCGTTTGGTGGTCCTTGCTGACCGACCGACCAGGCGACCAGGCGACCTATCGGGCGGACCGTCCGACCGTTGTTATTATAAGCATTATCATTATGATCCAAGCCGTGGCCATTCCTTTGTCTGTGCTAACTGTTGCTAATCTTAAATTGCGCACACAATGCTTTTTGTCTTGCAGCGTGAGAACCGCTGCGTGTGGGTTCCATCAACGCCAGTCCAGCTCCAGTCTGATCCCCAGCCCAAGGATCGGCGCAGCCAACGTGTTAATGAGCTAAAGGAAATGCGGCGCAGGACCACCTTAGGCGCTGCCTGGCAGCCTCGAATGAAGTTGTTACGCTTTATATGTGGGGTTCCGCGGCTAATAAAGCAATTTTGCTCTTGCCCTAAAAAGAAAGCGATGCGATGCGATTCCGCGAGAGGCTTCGGTACAGTTGACCGGCCGATGGCGATGCATCGGCAGGAGACGGCCACCCCTGCCACAGTGCATTTGAAGTATCTAGTTAACTTGCTAGCTGTCCCCCAAACAGAGCTCTGACCTTCTTTATTTATGCACTAATCCGTGGGAAATGCGCACCCAAACACCTGGGGCCGATTTATGCCCCTGCTTGTAATGCCCCAGCACCCGCACTGACTGCAACAAGCGACAGCCTAGCCCATGGCCAATGGCCAATGGATAGTCCGCCAAGGAATGTCAAACGAACTCTCGATACCCTATCGAGATATTAAGTAAGGTAACTGAAATCATTTACAAATATGAAA